TTAGCAGAGGTCTGGTAATTCCAGGAGTCGGGGAAATTGCTGGGAAGTCTGTAAGCCTTCTAGATGTACCCCTTTCAAAGTTTCCCCAAGGAATTGGGCCATTCAGGTGATTTTCTGAAGATTCCAGGCTTAATGTTTTAGTTTACTTTTTTTCCTTTATTTCTTCCTGTCCCTTGAGAGAATTGCAACCACTCAGACTAAAAACAAGGATTTTTAAAGGAAAGAAGCAATACGTACTTACCCCTTGTACCTCTGAATTTGGGAGGACATCTTTTAAAAACCAGAAGAGTCTTACTTTGTGAGTCCATGGACTTTCAAAAATCTTAGAATTTTTTTCTTTTCTTTTTGAGAAGAAGAAGTCTATAAATGCCAAAGAACCCATTGTTCCACTAGTTTAAAAAATTAAGAACTGCTAGACACTTAGGTTGATTCCATTATTTTGGCTATTGTGAATAGTGCTTCAGTTAACATGGAAATGCAGATGTATTCAACACACTTACTTAATTTCCTTTGTTTATCCCAGGAGTGTGACTGTTGAATCATATGATAGTTCTATTTTTGATTTTTTGAGAAACCTCCATACTGTTTTTCATAATGGCTGTATCAATTTACATTCCCAACAATAGTGTATAAACGTTCCCTTTTCCCCACATCCACACCAGTGTTTGTTATTTTCTAATTGGGATAAAGTGGTATTTCATTGTGTCTTTGATTTGAATTTCACTGTTGATTAGTGATGCTGATACTTTTTCATTTTCCTGATCATCTGTATGTCTTCTTTTGAAGACAAACCGACTTCTCTGTGGATGAATGGGTTTTGAAAATGTGGTATATATAAACAATGGGATACTACTCAGCTATAGAAATGAATAAAATCCTGTCATTTATGGCATCATGGATGGACCTGGAGGACTTTATGTTAACGGAAATAAGCCAGGCACAGAAAGACAAATATTACACGATCTCAGTCATTTGTGGAATGTAAAAATGCTGATCTCTCAGAAGCACAGTAGAATAGTGGTTACCAGAGGCTGGGGATGGTAGCGGGGAGAAAATTATGGGAGAGATTAGTTAAAGGGTACACAATTATACTTAGATAAGAGGAATAAGTTCTGATGTGTTATAGCACAGTAGGGTACCCACAGTAAACAACATTATGGTGTATAAATGTTATGGTCTGTTAAAAATAACTAGAAGAGAGGATTCTTAACAGTCTCACCACAAATAAATGATAAATGTTTGAAGTGATAGACATGCTAAATATCATGATTTGATAATTACACAATGTATATGTGTATTGAAACATCACACTATACCCAACACATGTGTCCAATTATTATGCATCAGTTAAAAACAAAAAATGAACTAGATATATACTCATAAAACTGAATATTAAACTTATAAAAATGAAAAAAAAAGCTATTCTGAACGAATAAATGAATAAATTATCTTGAGAGGAGTAAATAGTCTTGTGCCTTAAGATTCAATTGATGTATTCTCCATACTCTGTAACCTCAGATGTTCTAAGAAGGCATTCATTATCCTTTGATATTAAAACCAAGACAGTATTAATAGAACTTTACTAAAAGCTTAGGATGCTGTACCTATAACCTTAGGACAACATAAAACCAATACTAAAGACTTGAATTAAACCAATATTTGAGGGTAGACTCAAGTGTGAATGTAGTAAGAGATTTTGGAGTGATGGTTTATATGTTGTTTTGTCTAGCATTTAGTGTCCAAAGTGTTCAAAGGAAGCATTCATACTAGATTGGAAACTATAATTTGAATTGGTTAAGAAAATGGAATTTAGTTTTTAATCAAGTTTTTTTGAATGAAAATCAGTCATCAGGTTTCATTTAATTTTGAACATTAAATTATAAAAAAGAAAAGACTTGCTGCTCCAGAACAGACTCACATTTGTTTTAGCATTATTATTGTAAAAGCTTTAGCTGCTCAAAGAGTTAAAAATCCTGTTGATATTTGATTCATTGGGTTGTATAAGCCAAACTGAGAATATCCTCCCAATCATACCTGTGTGCTACAGAGAACACCGATTTTAATCATCACTAGATTTTTAAAGTCACTTGTGAGTACTTTTCTTACATTGAATGTCTGAACTTTCTATTTTTTCCCAAGATTTTCTTTTGAAATATAAGTGGCGCTTTGTTTTGAATAAAACAGCCATATTTTAACTTCATCCTTTCAGTCAAACTCTGATAAGGTTGGCGGGTTGATGGATATATGCTGCTCAGCTGATACCTTGCAATGAACAAGAGGAAAGGGTTTCAATTCTGGACCCTGGAATCTAGCTGTCTGATTCAATGTGACCTGCCCCGTCTTGTGTGACTTGGGCCCATTACTTAGGCTCTCTGTGCATCTGTTGTCCTCTTCTTAAAAATTGAAAGAGGGATAAAATGGGACAGTGTATGTGAAGGGCTGAATCCAGTTCCTGGCACATAGTAAGCACCTAATGAAGGGGAGTTATTATTAATCACCCAAGCAAAGGAACTCATTTCCCTGGTTAACACGTAAGAGTATTCAAAAAATAATCTAGACACTTAGTTCCAACCAAATTAGTAAGCTTCAATTTTACAAATCAATACAGAGGTTTCAGGTATATGTGATATAGATTCGATTTCATTACATGCATGGAGGATCAGCTAGGTCACAGCATGGCACTAGGCAAGACAGAGCCCAATAATTAAAAAGAGAGAGAGGATATATTTTTTTTCTTTCTTTCTTTTTTTTTTTTTTTTTTTTTTTGAGATGGAGTCTCACTCTGTGTTGCCCAGGCTGGAGTACAGTGGTGCGATCTCAGCACACTGCAATCTCTACCTCCTGGGTTCAAATGATTCTTGTGCCTCAGCCTTCTGAGTACCTTTGACTACAGGCACACAACACCACATCTGGCTAATTTTTTTTTTTTTTTTTTTTTGAGATGGAGTCTCGCTCTATCACCAGGCTGGAGTGAAGTGGCGCAATCTCAGCTCACTGCAACTTCTGCCTCCCGGGTTCAAGTGGATTCTCCTGCCTCAGTCTCCTGAGTAGCTGGGATTACAGGCATGCACCATCATGCCTGGCTAATTTTTTATATTTTTAGTAGAAATGGGGTTTCACCATGTTAGCCAGGATGGCCTTGATCTCCTGACTTCATGATCCACGCACCTCGGCCTCCCAAAGTGCTGGGATTCCAGACATGAGCCACCACGCCTGGCTAATTTTTGTATTTTTTATTAGAGACTGGGTTTCACCAAGTTGGCCTGGCTGGTATTGAACTCCTGACCTCAGGTGATCCACCTGCCTCAGCCTCCCAAAGTGCTGGGATTGTAGGTGTGAGCCATCACGCCCAGCCAAAAAGAGAGAGAAGTAATTTTTGAAATCAGCCTCGTGTCACTCCTATCATTTGAAAGAATTCTGCCATTTCTCTTCTTGCTTGACCATTACCCTATGAAGAACAAACAGATCCAACAAGTTGGGATTCTGACAACAAATGCTCATCACTCATCATTATTTCTCGTCTGTTTTCTCATGTGTTCATTCTTGCATCACACATTTCCAGCACATGTTGTGGGCATGGCCAGAGATTGGGGAGGAAACAGAGTGTGGAAGGGTTGGCATTTATAAAGACATCAGGAGATCTAGTAGTGGCTCTGACAGAGGAACTCCTGCCGAAATTCATGTTGGTGTCCCTAGAAATGACCAAAGACTCAAACACTCCCATGGAGCTGTAAGACAAGACAAGAAAATAAAGCCAGTTTCACTTGATACAGCAAACGTGATTTTCTACTAGCTCATTGATGTGTAGGCACTTCATGGAATACAGGCCTTCTAGATGTGAATCTGAAGCTCTGAACCACTGTTTGCCCTGTCACCTTTCCTGTAGGCATACGACGGCTTAAGCTACACAATGACCCGCCTTGCCAGGATGTGTGGAAGGGAGCAGCTGTCTAACCCCATCATCTCCTCAGGAAACAGCCTCTTTGTGAGATTTCAATCTGGCCCTTCCAGACAGAACAGGGGCTTCCGAGCTCAATTCAGGCAAGGCAAGTACCCTGTGGGTCTTCCCAAGCACAAGAGTAATCTTCAATGCCCTGTTTGATGCAACAGTGAAATGAGACCTGTGCTCAGAAATTTATCACAGCCTTCTACTTAATAAGAACTGTGACTTACAATTATTCCAACTCCTGAAGCTTGTAACCTTCTGCTTGTCTGACTTCCTTTGAACCTGCATCTCTAACGAGTGTTCAGAATAATATTTATTAAAAGTGCTTTTAAGACTAGAAACAGTATAGGAAAGTTTTTCTCCAAATTCATTGATCTAGGACTATCCAAGGCTTTATACTGCTATAAATTACAAGACTTGCTTGTAATATAATCAGAGTCTAGCCCCCAGAGACAGTGCTTTCCCTCATTTCTGAATCTTGCCATTGTCCAACTGAGGAGTCACTCTTGATTTCTATTTATTTTTCTTCCTTTGTTTCCCTCCCTTCCTCTCCTCCTTTTCCTTTTCCTCTCCTCTCCTCCCCTTCCTTTTCCTCCCCTCTCTTTCCCTCCCCTTCGTTTTTTTCCCACAGGGTCTCACTCTGGCACCCAGGCTAGAGTGCAGTCATGGCTCATTGAAACCTCGAGCTCCCAGGCTCAGGTGATCCTCCCACCTCAGCCTCCTGAGTAGCTGGGACTATAGGTGCAACAGTGAAATGCCTGGCTTCTTTTTTTTTTTTTTTTTTTAAGAGATGGGATCTTGCTCTGTTGTCCAAGCTGGTCTCAAACTCTTGGCCTCAAGTGATTCTCCTGTCTAGCCTCCCAAAGTGCTAGAATTGCAGGCATGAGCCCCTGCACCCGGCCCTTGTTTTTGTTCTTAAAGCACCACTTCTCCAAGACCTTTGTATGCATTGGCTTTCATCTGCTCACCCTGTGAGATGAACCTTTTATCCCATAGTCAGAGATTATTTGTATTCAGATGTTTCAGAACATTCACTGCAAATACGTTTAGTCTATGTAGTCATTATGTTTATCTTAGTGAACTCATTTATATTCTGTAGTAAAGAGTTCTGGTTGGGGACAGTGTCTGGATGGAGGTCTCCCAAGTATGTACCATAGACCTTTAGACTTTGGAGTAAGACAGGCTATATTCTTGTTGATTTAAAAGAAAGACTAGTTTCCTAATAGTTCTTTTGCATGTAATTATTCACCTGTATGTTGCTTTCGTAGTAAAAAGTCCTTGCTAGCTTTCATCTGGACCCTAACAGCCTCCTCGAAGTCACCTACCCTTACCCCATCTCTCTCCAAAGTCACCTGTAAAAGCCCTGCCCTGGCCTGGAGAATGAAGCTGAAGCCCCTGCAGATGTTAACCAAGGGTCCCAGAAACCGTCCTGACCTCTCTCCAGCATCAGTCACTACACCCCTCGGGCACCCCGTGCTCCAGCTGAGCCTGTATACATGCAGTCCTTACCCTCTTCTGTGTCTGCTCTGGTGGTCCCCTCCCTGGCCTCCCTTTTCTCACCCTCCCAGACCTGATTTAGCCGTGGCCTCCTCCTCGGCGAGACTCCTCTTACACCCCCCAGCGGTGACCGCCGCTCCCTCGCTGGGACTCCCATAGAGTTTTGCTCTTCTCTGATACTCTGCAGTCATCTTAATGAAGCTTGTTCAATTGAGTATTTATTTTCCTGAAAAAAAGAGGTCATTTATAAACAGATTATCCCTCTATCTATGATTATGAGTGGGCAGTGTAAGTGAACCATGCCAGAATTTTGTTCAAATGACTTGGGCAATTCATAGCCGTTTAATCTGTTACTCTTTGCCACCTCCTATAGTTGAAGAAAATTATTTAAAATATAAAATGTGCTCTCGTTTTCTGATGGTTTATATACAGCTCTCTTTATGGAGAACTTTCTTGGCATGCCTTTTAGAAATTAAAAAAAAATCTTTGATGTTTTTGTTCATCAAATATTTGTTTTGTACGGTCAGTAGAAATCAAAAGTGTATGACACATACGTGTGTTTGTGTGTTCTCCAGCCTGTGGAGGCCACATCCTCACCAGCTCATTTGATACTGTTTCCTCTCCGCGGTTCCCTGCCAATTATCCAAACAATCAGAACTGCAGCTGGATCATTCAAGCACAACCTCCATGTAAGTAACAAAAACAAAAAAAGAAAAGGCATGTGGGAGAGAAGGTGTCTGTGATAAGGTCAGACTGTGAGTAAGGTTCTTACCTCCTCAGTTCCAACGATCAATGGCCTTCCTCTTCCTCTTTTGCAAGTCCCAATTCCTGACGTGCATGAGAACAAGCACTTCCTAATCTGATAGGGAAGTAATTTTTACAATTGCTTTTAAATTAAAACAATATTTTTAAGTTTCAAGGCCTAGCAAAGGTTAAAATACAGACACACACACACACACACCCACACACACACACACACACACACCCCAACACAATACACATACAACCTTCCTGTATTGACAAGCGTATGCAGGCGTATGAGATTGGGGGTAAACCAAAATAATCGATAAATGGTTTTTGACATGTGTGCCATGAGGATAGTCGATGCTCAAGATGGTTGCTGAGTGAACAAATGAAGAAGAGCCACAGACTGGAGAATCAGTAACTCACATGCCGGAATTTAATATGTGACCCTATCAATCAAAGCAGACATTCACGATAAATTAAACCTGGGCTCTCCTGCAATCTACTATTCCAGCACAGGGCTAGAAGAAACACTGGATAAATGCTTACTTTCTTTTCTTTTTTGGAACCCTAGAATCTTATTTTCTGACCGGGCAACAGTCCGGTGGTAAGCACTTCTGCTCTCATTTTACAGACAGAGAACAGGAGGGAATGTTCCTCACAGACATGACAGAATGGCTGCAGGGGGGGGTGACGCTGGGGCCCTTCTGAATCCTGTTTCACAGGAGCCCTGCCCTCTTGCCTTGTCATTGAGATTTGCAGGAAAATACGGTTTCAGGTAGAATGTAGGAAAGGCTTTAAGTTCTTCACTCTGCTCAGTAACTAATCGCCTGTGTGAAAATAGGGAAGTCACTTAAGCTAATCAGGCCATGACAAAATAATCTGCAAAATGAAGAGTTCGGCTTAAATATTCTCTAGTACTTTCCCTTGGGATGTAAGGAGTTAACAAATTGCTAGTATCTTTATTGACATGCATAAGATGTGGAGGCCGATGATGTCATCCTTAGCCAATTCAAATGGAGAGACGGAGCCGAAAACAAAGTTGCCAGCCAGAGACTGAGCAGTAGATAAAGAAGCCCCCTCCCTTGAACAGAGCAGTTTATGCCTGAGGATTATTTTCTAATGAGTTGTAGAGCATTTAGATGAAAGAACTCACTGGTTCCAGAACAGCAATAGGAAAAGATCCTATTCTGAAGATTAGGGAGCTTGAAGAACAACAAAAAGAAAATGCATCCAGGCACTTGCTGTTCTGCAAGTAATTCAAAGCTTTCGTGATAAATGTCTCTAAATCTTAGGGCACTAGCTCTCGCCTGAAAATAAAACTGAGTGAGCTAAAATGTGAGTGCCAGGGAGAAAAGAATGACTTATTTACAAGCACATGCAAAGAATCTGAATTTAAGGAAATGATTGTATTGAGAAAAATGCTTATGAGAGGAACACAGCAATGGTGATATAAAAACAGGGAAAGATGGCATTTTCCAACAAGATATTTCCTATAGTACCTGGAATGAACCTACCCAGGAGTCCTCTTATTTACCACTACCAGCGTTTCAGATGCAACAGGCACTTTTGAAAGCATCTATTCTGTTACTCTTCAAAGGAAACCACCTAGCACAGAAGTTATCCCTTCCTTCTCCTTTCCCTTCAACCATGTGCATCTCTGCCTCATTCATTAATTCTCTGCTGGAGAACCCTTACATGAAATGATCAGAGGTAAAATGTATCTCCCTGTAGGTTTTTTAATTTTAATTTTATTTTGTAAAAAAAATTTATTTTTATTTTTTGTAAATGTATATATTTATGGGTTACATGAGATGGGGTATTCCATCCCTTCAAGCATTTACCCTTTGCGTTACAATTGAATTATACTCTTTTAATTATTTTTAAATGTACAATACAATACAGTTTAATTACTTTTAATTACCAGCTACAATTACCATTGTGCTATGAAATAGTAGATCTTACTCATTCCTTTTATTTTTTTAAAAAAATATTTGTTTATTTATTTTGAGATGGAGTCTCGCTCTGTCACCCATAGAGTGCAGTGACGTGATCTCGGCTCACTGCAACCTTCGCCTCCCAAGTTCAAGCAATTCTCCTGCCACAGTCTCCTGAGTAGCTGGGACTAAGACATGTGCCACCATGCCCAGCTAATTTTTTTGTATTTTTACTAGAGACAGGGTGTCACCATGTTGGTCAGGCTGGTCTCGAACTCTTGACCTTGTGATCCATTCGCCTCAGCCTCCCAAAGTGCTGGGATTACAGGCTTGAGCCAGCAAGTACGGCCTCCTTCTGTTTTTTTATACCAATGAACCATCCCCATCTCCCATCTTGCCCCATCTTCCTGTATGTTTTATGTGCCAGTACTTTATTAGAGAATCTTCTCTTTTTTGCTTCCAGCAAATCATATCACCCTCTCCTTTACCCACTTTGGACTTGAAAGAAGCACAACATGCACACGAGACTTTGTAGAAATTTTGGATGGTGACCATGAAGACGCACCCCTCCGAGGTACCTCGCTCACTCGTTTACATGTGTGGTCTTGGATGTGCTTTATTTGTAGATCTACATATTTATAGACTGCATTCTAGGTTAGAATGTTTCCAATAGCTAGAAAGAGCAGCCTAAGCCAAGTAAAGATGATTAGAGGGTAAGAAAGCAGGCTTTACTGTGGGGTTCAGGGAAGTCAGCCTGCTTGTTAGTATATTCAAATGTGTGAATAGTTTGTGTATATTTTTTAAAACATTTAAAAGTTGCACCTGCTTTAAAGAGTAGTGGAATGCAGTCCATTCCAGCAATAGACAGCATTCTGTCTGAAATTTCTCGTTAATATCTGACCACAGTTCTTAATTTCAAATGGAGCGTGTTTCTTTCAGCCTTGTCCTCAGTGGAAGTAAAAAAAAAAAAGCACTTAATTAGTTAATGAATTAATTAATTCAATTAAAAATATGTCATTTGGTTTGTTAGACATCCTGATAAAATTAAAGAGTGCCACTATCTAGTTTCTGAAGTGTTCTCAGGCAAAGGAAAAACCTCAGGTTATTTAAGCTTTCTCTGTAAATTTCCTAACTTTTGAATTTTGTTATAAAAACTTCTCATCTGGCACTAGAAGACAAGGTCCATCAGAGAGGAGACTATTTTGCCTCTTGCCTTAATTCCCAGTTCCCAGGACAGTGCCTGAGACCATAGTATCAATCAGTGAACTCTCTACACCCTGTGCTCACCTCTCACAGCATTGCCTGAGGTCTTTGTAAGTAAGCTTTTGACCAAGGATAAGGGTACATTATTTCACAGACGGTTACATAGCAATATCTTGTGCTGAGTACTGTTCTCAGTACATTATATTAGCTCTAGTAAGTCAATCCTTATCTATCCTTAAAAGATAAGTTTCATTATTTTCAATATGCCCCTTTTTCCAAGTGGGGAAACCGAGGCACCAAGCACTTAAATAACTTGCCTAGTGTTACATGTAACATTTTCAGTGTTGCACAAAGAAATAGTGCTGAAATATAAATTTCTGCTGTGAGGCAATTTACTTCTGTAGAAGGGTGCGGCTCACAGATGGAACAATGGCAAGCACACACCTGGACAAGGCGGGGGGCGGGTACTTATTCCTGATGGAAGGTTGCCCCTACTGCTGTGTCGTTTCCCTATTGGCTAGGGTTAGACTGCACAGTCTAGTCTAATCGTGATTGGCTATTTTAAAGGGAGCGGTGGTACGAGTGGAGTGGTGGGGTGGGTAGTTTGGCAGGAAGGACAGTTGCAGGCAGGTTAGAGCAGGTAACCAGAATGAGTCAGGACGGAGACGGGCACTGGGGGAACAGATGTGATCTACTGATTAGAACAATGGAAAATGTTGTTTACTGAAACTATAAAGAAATTAAACTTTAAAATGGAGAATTAAAGAATAAGAGCTGAACATACTGACATACTGATTCTTTGAAGAGAAACTTGGAGTTCACTATATCTGACACTAGGATCACATAGCTAGCAAATGGCTGAGCCAGTAGCTGAATCCAGGTAGCCTGGCTCCAGCATCCACACTTTTCTGTGCTACAACACATTATTAGTGCATTTATTTGTGTGGGTCCAACTGGGCTGGAGATTTTTGCGTTAGGTACATGTGTCCCCTGGTCATCTAAGTTTTTCCTCTGACCCTGTTGTTCTTGATCATAAATCACCTCTCCTATATATGGCCCGTATATATAGTTTATTTTATCAGGTACCGTCTCCAACACTGACCCTGAATGAAGTGGTTCTCCTAGTGGTGATTTCTTCCCTTTGCTTTGGTCTCTTGTATTTCTAGTAAAGATGTGTGTCCTAGAAATAGTGGCCTCTGCCTTGTCATTGTTCAATCTCCTTGTCATTATTTTCATTATTTAGGCCGTTACTGTGGCAGCGCCATGCCCCATCCCATCACGTCCTTCAGCAGCGCTCTGACACTGAGGTTCGTCTCTGATTCTAGTGTGCGTGCTGGGGGTTTCCACGCTACATTCACTGCATCCGTGTCAGGTAAGAAACCTTAGCACGTGGCTCTGGCAGTTAACAGAGATGTGGTAGAAATTCTTGGTTTGTTATTTGAGACTCTTTGACCTTTGAAGTTGGGAGCTAGTTTCCTGAGATCACAACTGGGACTAATCTTACCTTCTTCCTGATTAAGTGAACATGTTGTCAATTCTAACAATAATGAACTCTGGAAGTGTGGAGGATTGGTTGGAAATGTGGTGTCTCTCCAGCTACACCCCATGCTCTCAGATGACTTGGTGTTCTTTTTTATTGAGATGGAGTCTCGCTCTGTCACCCAGGCTGGGGTGCAGTGGTGCAATCTCAGCTCACTGCAACCTCTGCTTCCTGAGTTCAAGCAATTCTCCTTCCTCAGCTTCCTGAGT